TCTGTGTGTGTGTTTAAACAGTCTTAACAGCCTCTGTCCCCTTGTAGAGATGGAGGTTTTTTTTCCAAACATGTGCAAACAAAATTAGAAGTATTTGCTTGATTTCCTTGGAACCTTTTCAACAGTTATATCCTGCGCCAGTGGTGCGATTCAACTTTTTTTTTTTTTTTACTAGCAGTTCTGTGGGCGGTTTGGTGGGAGTGGTGTGGCTTGGTGGGCGTGGCAGGGGAAGGATACTGCAAAATCTCCATTCCCTCCCCACCCCACTAACCTGCTTTCCAGCTCTGTTCTTCTGTGCAGGGCAACCAAAGGAGACCCAGGCTATCAGCTGGATCTCAACAGGAGGCAGAGAATAGATGGGGTTGGCGGGACCAGTCAGAGGTGGGATTTGCCAGTTCTCTGAACTACTCAAAATTTCAACTACCGGTTCTGTAGAACCGGTCGGAACCGGCTGGATCCCACTTCTGATCCTGCGCCCAGATTTGCAGATGGAATCATTCTAGTTTTTAAGATAGCCTTTAACGTACCACAGTTCGCTTAGTGAACATTGGAAGTTAGGACAGCAGTGAAAAAAGTGACTTATCATGACCATTTTTTTCACACTTATGACCGTTGCAGCATCTCCATGGACCCTTGATCAAAAATTCAGATGCTCGGTAACGGGCTCCTGTTTATGACGGTCATAGAGTCCCGGGGCGGGGCACATGATCGCTTTTTGTGACCTCCTGACAACAAAGTCAAGGGGAGGGAGCCATATTTACTTAACAACCTCATTTCTAAGGTAATAAGCACAGCGATTCAATTAACAACGGCGGCAAGGAAGGATGTAAAATGAAGCAAAATTCATTTAACAAATATGTCGCTTAACAACAAAACCAGTGTAGGTGTAAGTTGAGGACTACCTATGTAGCATTTTGAAGCCTATCCACCTTTTCGAAATTTGGCAAGCTTGGGGGACAAGCCATAAGAAGATAAAAAGAAATAAAATAGTATTTGAGGGGCTGCCACAAAGAAAAGGGTCAATTTATTTTCCAAACCTCTTGAAGGCAGGACAAGAAACAATGGATGGAAGCTAACCAGGGAAAGAAGCAACCTAGAATTAAGGAGAACATTCTTAAGAGCAAGGACAATTAATCAGAGCAGCAGCTTGCTTTCAGAAATTGTAGGGTCTCCATCACTGGAGGTTTTTAAGAAGAGACTGGACAGCCAATTGTCTGAAATAGTATAGGGTTTCCTTTTTGATCAGGGGGCTGGACTAGAAGACCTCCAAGGTCTCTTCTAACTCTGTTATTCTGTTCATCTGGTCTGCTTAGTTTGTGCCCTACTATTTGCAATTTGCAGAGCATGCAAAAGTCCAGCAATGAAATAATCCCATCTGACTTTCTTTGCGATACCTTCCAAATGAAAAATGGAAGCGTTGAAAGAAGGCGTTCGTTCGGATTCGTGCAAAAGATATCAGCGGACTTATTGTTATTTTATGCATTTGTTTTTATTTATTTATTTGTCAAAAGCTTACAATAGAACAGAAACAAGAATAAACATAAATTGAAGTACAAGAAATAGGAACTAATAATTGGGGACAATAGGACCGGGACGGTAGGCAGGATTGTGCAAGTTAGGCACACTGAAATTTAAACTTAAATCGGAATTTGGAGCTCTGAGGAAAAGCCTTTTTTTCTTTTGCTTTCGAGAGCTAACTAGGAGCTCCTTGAAACAAGATTCATTGCAACTGGTGGGTGGAGGCTAAATCAAAAAAGGACTCCAGACAGATGCAACCTAAGTCTGCTTTGGTTTGGAAGAGAGCCGCAGAAGCTTCCCTGAGACAGAAAACTTTAAAGAATCAAAGCCAGAAAAGAAACAAGAGCTGGAGTGGGGGTGAAAAAAAAAGCTCGGTGCCCTATTTGGGCGTCTTTGACAGCAGCTGCTCAGAGCTGCTCAGGGTGTTCAAAAGGCCCGTTTCTCAAAAAAATAAAATAAAAAAAAATGGACCCGCACAAACAAAACCCGTAGCGATGGAAGCGTCAGGCTGGTTCCCATCTTTTGCAAGATTTGCTCAGCTGTCGAAAAACGTCCCCGGGTGCCTGCGGGTTTGTGCACGCACACAATGGCCCCGCTTCGGAAGGGTCGGCCAGGGAGGCAAATCAGCTGTTCCCTGTGGCACATATGTGCGTGTGTGTGCGTGCATGTGTGTGTGTGTGTATAAATAACAGGGCCTTCTTTCAAGCAGCCTCCCGAGCCTTGTTTTATTATTGTGGGAAGAACTATCTATCTGGCTCACTTCCATGCCAGGAGAAAAGTCGTTGGAAACACGCAGGCTGATTGGGAAGATGGTTTATTGATGAAGCAGAACCACATGGATCCTAGGCAGCTGACCACATGCAGTGGAGAATGAGGGGTATTTATACCTTCTCTTGGGCTTTGCACTTGAGCTTCCTGTTCCTGTGCAGGAACATGTGTTCTATTGGCTGTTGGTTGTCAGAGCTTCCAGGTTTGGTTGAAGTTTGGACTGCTGATGCAATGAAGGGGTGCTGGGCAATTCCTATTGTGGTGGAGGGCTAATCCTACTTTGTTCAGACTATGCTGCAGGGAATTTTTGCCTATGAATAGAGTTACCTAGATCAGGGGTCTTCAAACTTGACAGCTTGAAGACTTGTGGACTTCAACTCCCAGAATTCCTCCTCCAGTCATGTTAGCTCAGGAATTCTGGGAGTTGGAAGCCCACAAATCTTAAACTTGCCATGTTTGAAGACTGCTTGTCTTCTTTCAATCAGCTCTTTAGTGCTGGCATCTGCTGAGGGCTATTAAGAAAAGGTGGGGGCTGTTTTCTCCCTCTAAAAAAACCATGTTTCTCCATTTCTCATCCAGGGAAATAAAATATTCTGCCTTTTAAAAAAATATTTCTCAAAATGTTTCATTCTTCTAGGAGAGGGGTGGGTACTAACTTCCTACATTGTCAAAAGAGGAAAGACTTCATTTGCAGTATCATCCTCATGAAAGGGAAGACTAGTAAGCGAATTGTTAAGCGAATTTCTCTCCCTTGTTGACTTGGTTTGTCAGAAAGTTGCAAAGGGGCTGATGTGACCCCTGGACACCACAAACGTTCATAAACGTGAGTCAGTGGCCAAGTGTCTGAATTTTGATCGGGTGTCCATGGGGATGTCATAAAATGTGAAAAACAGTCATAAGTCACTTTTTTCAGCCACTGTCGCTTAGAACAGTCATTTAATGAAGGGCTATAAATTGAGGACTATCTGTACTGGATAGCCAAAACCTTTGAGTCAATTCAGTTCACTTTATTAGAGTCATAGACTAGAGACCAGAACAAATAAAAATGCTCAGTAAATATACAATTAAAAATTCTAGAATGAAATAATAAATAACAGATCAAATCTATTATAAAATCCAGTCTGTCAATTTTGCGTGGTCTGACTATACTAAAATTACAATTGCACTTTTTTTTAATTAGAAGGAATGAAATAGAATGGAATAGAATGGAATAGAATAGAATAGAATAGAATAGAATAGAATAGAATAACAAAATTGGAAGGGACCTTGGAGATCATCTAGTCCAACCCCCTCCTCAAGCAGAAGGCCCTACATCATTTCAGATAAGTGATGGTCCAGTCCCTCTTTAAAAGCCTTCAGTGATGAAGCACCTACAACTTCTGGTGGCAAGCTGTTCCACTGGTTAATTGTTCTCACTGTCAGGAAGTTTCTCCTTAGTTCTAGGTTGCTTTTTTCCTTGATTAGTTTCCACCCATTACTTCTTGTCTTGCCCTCCGGTGCTTTGGAGAATAGCTTGACCCCTTTCTCCTCTCTGTGGAAGCCCCTCAAATACTGGAAGACTGCTATCATGTCTCCCCTGGTCCTTCTTTTCTCTACCCAATTCCAGCAACCATTCTTCATCTGCTTTAGCCTGGAGGTTTGTTAAGCCTCCTTGTTACGGAGTATATGGGATCATCCCGTGGCTAGCTCGGAGACTATGTTTTTTTTCAACTCCAAGAGATTCTTGCCTTTAGTAGGTATCTGGGAAGCTCAGCAAAGATCTACCTTAATGAGCTGCTTCACCTTGACAGAGCATTGATTTGACACTTTCTAGCAGAGCTTTGATGTGATCCTTTCTGGGGATGCTTTGATAGGGTTTGGAGTTGTGTTGTCTGCATTTCTTTGTTATTTGATAGGGGAGGGGAGTGTTTGTCCTCCCTGACTGGTGTTAATTCTGATATTTACAGTTTTGTTCCATAAGCCACTGGGCAAGATAAGATAGCTCAAAGACAACACAAATTGTGTTTGATCACCAATTTTCTAGTGTCCAAACCTCCTTCAGGGCAAGCTTGATATCTTCCATGGGGTTTCCTTGGCATGTCTTCAACTAATCTTTAGAAGTCTCTCATCAGATTTTATATATCTTCATCCTCTTCCTTTTCTTTTTCTTTTTTTCTTTCTCTCTCTCTTCCTTCTTTCTTCTATCTTCTATATTATTATTTTATTTGTATATATAAAAACGGGCGTGGGTGTTTGCATGTTCTAGCATAACTCTGGAATGCCTTGAGCAATTTCAACCAAACTTGGTAAACAGATGACACCCTCTGGAAACAAATACTGCGGGGTAAGACACCCTTAACACCCCTCAGGGGGATGTGTACCTTAAAATGGCTTCTACTGTACAGCACCATGGACTTGCTCTGGTAACAGCTGCAGAATACTCCACGAGGGGGCTCCCTCTCAGCCCTCCAAGGAAACGTCAGACGATTGGCCAATGAAACACCAGCATAGACAAGAAACTCCTGAGAGAAAGGAATAGAAGACTTTCAATGCTACACGAGAGACAGTACAACAGCGCGAGTCCCAACTACAGGATTTTTGTGTGTGTGTGTGTGTGTGTCTGTCTGTCTGTCTGTGTGTGTGTGTGTGTATTTCTGGGGGAAATCAGAAAATATATTTCAGTGAGAAATCAATTTTAAAGTTCCTTTCTGTTTCGTTCTGTCTTTTCGATACAGAGGACATACATTTTCACCTTCCTTCTGAGCTCCCGTGTCTTCATTCATCCTCATGAGCTCTTGGCTAAAGTTGGGCACCTCTGCCTGAAGCAGAAACAGCAGCTGGAGACCGGGGTTGAAGCAGAAAAGGTAAAGTGAGCGATGAGGTCGTTCCGTTGATTTTAGCTTGGTATTTTCTCTCCTTCCCATCTACATCACTAATGGACAAGCAGGTCCTGGAGTTGAGGATCCCTGCCCTAAGGGATTACAGTAGGTGCAGTGGTTAGAAGGCAGTATCGCAGGCTAATTCTGCCGACTGCCAGCAGTTTGATCCTCAAGATTGACTCTGCCTTCCATCCTTCCCAGGTCGGTAAAATGAGAAGCCAGATTGTTGCTCTGTAAACTGACATAGAGAGGCTGACACTGTAAACCACTTAGACAGGGCTGTAAAACACTGTGAAGCAGTATATAAGTCTAAGTGCTATTGATATTGCTAATAAATAGACCAGTGTTGCTCCTTCAATGAAAAAGTCAAATTTGTAAGCTGGGAAAGAAATAGTTGTGTATCCTGTCCTTGAATGCCCAGAAAGACTACGAAATGAACTCTGGTTTAATGCATGTTTATAATAAATTGAAACTGAACCCTTTTAAGTTTCACCTTAAAAAGCTAAGAAAGATGGGCTCTATTTAGTAAGTCAATGGGACACCACTGTGTCTTCCTTGGTCTGTTAAGTTGGACTGGGAAGTTTTGAAAACCCGTTATTGGAAGCCATAACAAAACCTTTCCCATATTTATGCTGGCACCTCCACACAATCACAACGTCTCCTGCGCCACTCAAAGGAGATTAACATTTCAACTAGACTCAGTTGCAATACTTGAAGGGCTTGTCAAATCTACTCTCCCAAGCACCCTGAGGGCAGGACAAGAAGTAACAGGTGGAAAATCATTAGGGAGAAATGCAACCTGGAACGAAGGAGAAATTTCCTCACAGCCAGGACAATTAATCAATGGAACAGCTTGCTTCCAGACATTGTGGGTGATCCATCACTAGAGGCTTTTCAGAAGAGATTGGACAGCCACTTGTCTGAAATGGGATAGGATCTCCTGCTTCAGCAGGGGGTGGGACTAGAAGACCTCCCAGGTCCCTTCCAGCCATATTGTTCTATGTTCAGTGCTCAGTCAACCTGAACTGAGTTCTATTGGAGCAATGTTTTCACTTCCATTTGGATATGCTTTCTAAGAGGGGATTAGAAAAAGAGAAGTTGTGCAAAGTCTAAGCAAGAAGAGATTTGGAGGATAAGACTTCATTAACTTGAGAGAGTGGGGGGGGAAAAACCTATTTGCAAAGCTTAACAGAGGCATCCGGCGTCTCTAGCTATTGAGAATTTGAATGTTCCTGCTGTAATGGAGTATAGAAACATGTCTTGTGTCAGCGTTCGAATGAAACTCCCCAAGGCTGACATCTTGCATTTCTCTCAGCTCCTCCAGTTGATAAATAGAAAAGTTCAACTTTTAAATGTCTGTGGGGATTCTCAGTCATCCAGGTCATGGTTGTCCCAAAGATACTTTTTCAGGTGACCCCGAGGACACAAAAGGCCTCAACGACTCACTAAAAGGATGCAAATGACCCGCTGTCTGCAAGGAGTATCAATCCTTCCATTCCCCACCATCCAGTCAGAGCTGAAGAAACTTCTTGGATGAGAAGCAAAACGTCTTCAAAGAAAAACAAAGAAAGTCCATTTGCCTCTTGGGAAAAATATGTATATATATATACATGTTTTCATCAACAGCGCAATGATTTTTCTTTAAACCCAAACTTTGAAAATAATAATTCTTAAAAAACCCAGTAAATTAAGGATAACAATCCAAAGGAACTACGGCCCAAAGCAGGGAAGGTTTGCCCACACACCTCACACAGCGATAAAACATTGGCAAGAAGCACTGGCATGAAAATCAAAGCTGCTCGACGGTGTGTAAGTAGTAACATTGGCAGGACAACCCCGTGTTGTGGTTCTGTTGCTAAGCTATGTTGTCATTCCCACGTGAGCGCCACCAGCGACGAGCCACATCTCAAAAGAAAACTGTTCCAAATCATAAACTGGTAGATTAAAAGGAAACTTTAGCGCTGCTCAGATCAACTTGGGAGGTTTGACATGACAAGTCGAGATCTCAATTTCTCCCACTTTATTACACATTCATAATGGGTTGTGCACCCTGCCAACTAAGGATGGCTAAGCAGAAAAACAAAGGGAAATCCATCTGAGGTTCAGAAAGCAATCCTAATATAACAGTAAGGTAGAAGTGACATGGTTGCTGAAAAAGTGCATTACAACATACATGACTACAGTAAGTCGTACATATACGACATACAACAGTTCGTTTAGTGACCATCTGAAGTTACGGCAGCATTGAAACAAAAGTTGACTTAAGGCCATTTTTCATACTTATGACCACTGCAATCACATGATGGTCCTGTGATCAGAAGTTGAACACAACTGGTATGTATTTATGAGAGTTACAAAGTCCTGGGATCATATGTGTGATGAGTGGGATACAAAAGCAACAAAGTCACAAAAACAGATGATGTTCTTTTAATTCCTTCAACTTGGTTTTAAAGGTCCAAATATCATTGACTGGAGAAAAACCTCCTACATAAACAGTTGTGAAAAGGAAGAACTTCTGTTCAAATTCAAAATACATATAAATTATAAATAGAAAAAACAACACAACACAAACCACTGAAGCAATTAAGGAGACAAGGCAGGATAAGGGCTTGAAGACGTCCACAGATATCGAAATACGCACACTGGGAAGGATGCCAGAACTCAGATAAGAACAGAAAGACTAGAATTATTTCACACTTGGCTTCCACCAGTGACCCATGCAGAGTTTGTCCTTTTAAACAGTCCTCACAGCTGCAGCCCAAGAAGGGGATCAAGTCCCTTTCCTCCCCCATAGACCACACCATTCACGTTTCTCCCTTATCCGCTCCTCCCTGCATGCCCTAGGATGAAGAGGGGGTGAGCCTGGGTCCCAGCCGGCCTGTGCCCTTCCCCAGTTTCCTCCAGAACCTCTGGAGACTCACTTCTACTCCCTGTTGGCTGTTCCTCCTCTCCCTAGGAGTCAGATTCTAACAGGGGCATGACAATATGATTCCCTTTGGCAACTCCTTATGACCAGCAAAGGCAATGGAGAAGCCATAATCACTTAACAACTGTGTGTGATTCACTTAACAACTGCAGCAAGAAAGGTTGTAAAATGGGGCAAAATTCACCTAATTGTTGTGCTTAGCAATGCAAATTTTGAGCTTAATTCTAGTCATAAGTCGAGCACTAACTATAGTAGCTTGGTTACACATTTCCCAAATAGTTAACAGGGAACATTTTTCTTAGTATCTTCACTTTGTTCTGTTTGTTACGCATAAACAACATGACTTCAAAACATGTCCTTATGCAACAAACACACTGATGTGTTACAAAATCTAGAACAAGCATTTGACTTGTTCTTAAATGTCAGATCCCACTTAAGAGTTTGATCTTTTTCAAGGCAACTCCTCCCGTCCTGTTTACTCTTGGCTGAAGCAATTTTACAAATGCACACAGATAGTTATGGTTTTCCTATCCATCTACCAGTATCAAATGCAGAATTTCTGAAATGCACATTTCAGACAACAACTCCTTGAACTGAGCTGGATTCTACAGACAGATAATGTTAATCTGTTAATAAAGGGTGTAGGGTCTCCTGCCTGGGTGGGAGGTTGGACTAGATGATCTGCAAGATCCCTTCCAACCCTGTTAATATTTCCCTGGGAACAATCTCAGTTGCCCTTATTTTGTTCTGGGGTCCTTTTTTATTTAATTCCCTGTCTAGCTTTGTGGAGCTCCATCCAACCACTAACCAACTTTGACTCTACAAAGATTTGTTTGACTTCAACCAAAATACAAAAATGCCGCCTGTTTAAACTTAATCTGTTTAAATTTGATCCCTGGAAATTTAGGAGAAGGGGAAAAAGAAAAAAGGATTGCACCATGTTCTACCAACCTTTCCTTCCTGACCACCATGTAATCCTATACATCCCTCAATATTCAGCTTGGTGTCCCTTCTGTAGGTTCCTTCTGCTTCAGTAAAGAGACACAGAGTTTTTGAAGAAGTTTCAAGTCCAGTCTTTTGTCGATGATTGACGATGGGGACTCAATAAAGTGCTTGAGCAGGGGGTTGGGCTAGAAGATCTCCAAGGTCCCTCCCAGCTCTATCCTGATTGATTGAATGATGCCGGTGTCCATCCAAAATCAAAAGGGTTGGGTGCCTCAAGAAGGAAAGGGGAACAAACTCGTTGAAGCCATCCACTTAAGAACTAAAGGGACATTAGGATCACCCTGTTATCTGAGAAATCCGTTGAAATTGCCCAGAGTTCAGTTTGGACAATGGTAAATGAGATCCCCAACCTAGTTGAGAAGACCAAGCTTGGGGTGTTTTAAGGACATCGCAATAGGTAGCATGAGTTCCTTCCATGCCGTTGCCAGGGAGATGGATAGATGTCTCCACGAAGGACAAAAATCTGGGCTAAATTCAGAGTCTCCCTCCAAAAAAAAAAAAAAAAACCCTCCCACCTTTTCACGCGATAAGACTCAATGCAGAATTTCTGGGGTTATTATTATGACTAGCTCGATACCCGTGCTTCGCTATGGAACTATGTGGTTGGGCTTAGTTTTGGGGGAGGAAAATAAGGGGGAAAAATTCTGCCTCTGCCTACGAGCATCCATTGGTATTCATCTGGCTAGCGTCCTGTCAGTCTGTGAGAGAGTTGAGGGCTGTTTGGAAACTGAAACAGTACTTGCTGTGTGAGCAAGAAGGAGACAGCAAGGAGCCTGGGCATGGCTTAGCTCAACTGTTCTGTACTAAAGCTGCTTGGTGCTGTGAAACTGAAACTCCTCTCCTCTGCTTGTGTTTGCATTTGGAAGAGATTTCTTTCCAGGCGGGGAGGGGGAGTAGAATTCCTTAGCATCAGAGCGTGTTGATAATAATAATAATAATATAGGAAATGCTCTAAATGCTCTGATGGTCATTTCAAAAAATCCTTTCTTAGTGAGCCCCTAGAAGCCAAGAGGAACATAGGTGCCAAATTTCAAGTTTGTAGGCTTTATGGTTCTAGAGATTTTGTGATGATGCCTGAGTGGTATTTCGCAGATAGATGGGATGGATGGATGGATGGATGGATGGATGGATGGATGGATGGATAGATAGATAGATAGATAGATAGATAGATATAGATGATAGAGATAGATAGATAGATAGATAGATAGTTAGATAGATAGATAGATAGATAGATAGATAGATAGATAGATAGATAGATTTTAAGCAGAAGCCCAACTTAAACCAACCTTTCTCTTGTAGCGGAAGTTCTTTTTTAAAAAAATACATCTTCCTTTTTCTCCTAAAGGGAATTGGACTAATTTGGCATCTGTTGGACTCAATTCCCAAGCAAGGGTACACGAGCACAGAAGAAATAACCTGTTTTCCTTCCCCTTTAGAGAAAGGGAAAAAGAGTCACGAACTTTTCAGATGATCTGATTAGCAGGGTGAACAAAGGAAGTCCCTGCTTCTCACCACTTCATTCAAAGAAATCCTTCTACTCGCTCCCATTTAAGCACTTCCCGTCCTTGAGACCTAGGTTTTAATTAATACCCATCCATCCTAATATAAAGAAACAGGATGGAGTTCTGACAACAAGGGGCACCAGGAGCAATGAACAAAACGCCCTGTGACCAAGTGAGGGACAACCAGGATGTCCCCACCTTCCAGGACACAGTTGACTGACTCAATCAGGAAGTGTATTTCCAACTCTCTCTGACAATGCCCCATTGAATTCTGATCATCTATGAATTCAAGCTAACATCCAACAAAGTTGGAGGAATTGTCTCTCTTATAAATTTGATTGCTCTGGTCTAGGCAGAGTTGGGTGTTTTTCTTCTTCTCAAGAAGTTCTTCCCATCCCACCTTGGTCAACCACTGAATGGTGTGCTAGGATGGTCCATTCACAGGAATGGCGCTGTCCAGAAAGTCAAGATGGAGGTTGCAACCCTGCAAAATCACAGTTCTTGTTGTGTCATCTCCTTTAAATAAAGGGACCAAGCTTTGATTGTACAGCTGTGACCATCGGGGGAAGGACTTGCCTTCAGAAGTTGTGGGTGATCCAACACTGGAAGTTTTTAAGAAGACATTGGACAACCATTTGTCTGAAATGGGATAAGGTTTCCTGCCTGAGCAGGGGGTTGGACTAGAAGACCTCCAAGGTCCCTTCCAACTCTGTCTATTCTATTCTATTCTATTCTATTCTATTCTATTCTATTCTATTCTATTCTACTCCACTCCACTCCACTCTACTCCTTATTGTATTCTTATTCTACTGTATTCCACTCTACTCTACTCTGTTCTATTCTACACGATTCTATTCTTATTCTATTGCATATTCTATTCTATTCCGTTCTATTCTATATTCTCTTCTATTCTATTCCATAATGAAATTAAGACAAAAAATAATTTTGATTTCGTCTCATTGATGTATATATGATGATGCTAGTGTGATCTGCTGTCATCGGGGCGGGGTGGGGGTTGGTTGGGAGTTGGTTTTTTTTTTTGTTTTTTTTTTCCGAAATTTTGTTGTATTGTAGTTTACTAATTTATTTGATTCTTTTTGTTAGTTTTTATTGTTTTTTATTTTTATTTTTTGTTTTAAATATGGTTTTACATTGTGTAGGCTGCCTCGAGTCGCCATGGCCAAATAGGGGCCAATATAAATTAAATAAATATATACTTAATTCATCATTAATTAGCATGATTGACCTCAAGTCATGCATTTAGTATTTTTCTCACCCTTCTCTAGATTAAAAACCCAAATTCCAGTGCAAATTCTGTTGCATAAAAATTGCATTTGAAAATACTGAAAACTCTCGCCCACTTCAAAACTCAGATTCCAGTCTGCTATTTCTACTGGTTTTGGAGGAATTGAAAAACTTAACCTAAGAGAGCCCGAAGCATCCTTTGTCCTAGGAGTGTAACCTAGCACTTAGATTTCCTAGAGTCTTTCAAATCCTTCCTTGCCATGTCAAATTTGTTTTGTGTTTCTTTGAGTTGCAACCTCTTCTTTTCAGTCAGAGCGTTGGGAGTGTGCTACAATCGACCTACAATCTTTCTCTTTATAAACAAATGTCAAAAGCAAGCCGATTTGGAAGACCAACGTGGGTCTAACATAATGCAGAATACAGAATGTTATTTCAGAATGTTCTGTAACCAAATTGGAAGGGACTTTGGAGGTCTTCTAGTCCCACCTACTGTTCAAGCAACAGAACTGAACAAATGGTTGTCCAATCTCTTCTTAAAAGCCTGCAGTGATGGAGCACCCAGAACTTCAAGAAGCGAGGAGTTATTTAAATACAAATTTATCTCTTCCTTTGTTTTAATTCTCCCTTTTTCTAATTGATGGTTCAAATTTTGGTGTCAGGAACCAAATGAATTTGTTCAAATGAATACAAGTTTATTCCGTGCTAGCTCTCTAACAAGAATCTGAACTACTAACGGTCAACACAAATTGGCGGAAGTAAGAGTAGAATTCAAGGAGGGCTGGACTTAAATCTCTTTTGGGAATGAAGGGATTTGAGATTGATGATGCATTTGACCCCTCTCACCTGGTCATCTCCTACATTTGGCACTGGACAACATCACAAGGTTGCTCAAAATTCAGAGTTAGACAGATTTTTGATACACTGATAAACAAAACCCCTTGTTCTTGTTTAGGGGAAGCTCAAGGCCTTTGCCACAAAGATAATCCAACTTCTGAAGGAATGGACCGAAACATTTCCATACGACTTCCAGGATGAGAAATCTATGAAGGAGCTAAAGGAAATTGCTCACCGGATCACCCAGTGTGATGAGGTAAGGAAGAAAAAAGAATGAGTGGTGAGGAGAGAAAAAAACCTCACTTTTACCAACCCATGTATTAACTTGTCAAAGGAAAAATATTTATTGGTAGCAGCAGATTTATGTCTTAGGAAGCACTGAGACAGAGGACTGTTGACTATAATTTGTCCTATGCAGCTGAGACATGGAGCATTTTGGATTTGAAGGATCTTTTGGTGCACACCCAAACTATTTTCCTCTTTCAAAGCCCACAGCTTTAAAAAAAATAAAAAATAACCAGTAAGAGCCATGGTGGCACAGTGGTTAGAGTGCAGTATTGCATGCTAACTCTGTCCACAGCTTGGAGCTTGATCCTGACTGTACAAGGTTGACTCAGCCTTCCATCCTTCTGAAGTCGATAAAATGAGGACCCAGATTGTTGGGGGCAAGAGGCTGACTCTGTAAACTGCTTAGAGAGGGCTGTAAAATTGCTATGAAGTGGTATTTGAGTTTAAGTGCTATTGTTATCTTCCTTCCTTCCTTCCTTCCTTCTTCCCTCCCTCCCTCCCTCCCTCCCTCCCAGCAAGTTAGAATGCAGTACCCAGGTTGTTGGAGGCTGACTCTGTAAACTGCTTAGAGAGGGCTGTAAAAGCACTGTGAAGCGGTATATAAGTGCTATTGCTATTGCTGTTTAAGCCCTTCTGACTTTTCAAGAATGCTTTATTGCAGAGCTAAACTGGTTTTTTTTAAACCCCAATGCATTGAATTAGCTGCTAGAATAGTATCATGTGTTGCTCTTGATAGCCACAATTATTTATTGGTTGTGGGAATACAGCCCAGGCTTGTGGTTTGATTGTTGCCTTTTCTTCTATTCCTTTCTAAAAGCAAACAAGCCTCCTCATTTTGCTACCTAACATTGCTACTGTGATGTTTGCTCACTTCCAAGACAGGGGCTTGAATTGATCGTTCTAAACAGAGTAAGAATTTATAGATCCTTAATTCTTCCTGTCCTAGAGACATTAGAGAAAGAAGAAGCCAGAAATGGGATAAACACAACTACAACTCAAAACAACAGCACTCCCATTAGGAAGACATTAGAGTAAAGTTTTGCCAGCAGTGTTTCTCTGCACACTTATTTTGGAGAAGGAATTCAGACATTCCAAAGGGGCTTTTTCAAAAGGCAACTGGACTTCCTTTGATTTTCCTTTAAGACATTTCGCTTCTCATCCAAGAAGCTTCTTCAGTTAACTCAGAACTGAGGAAGCTTCTTGATTGAGGAGCAAAACGTCTTCAAGGAAAATCAAAGGAAGTCCAGTTGCCTCTTAAAAAAGCACCTTTGTGTTAATATACACCATCTTGGCACTAGCTAGTGGAAAGCCAGTAATGAAAGTTTCCCGGCAACTCATTAAAAAGTTTCTTTGCAACTCATTAAAACAACCTAATTTTTTTTTTTACTGCTGCTTTGAAGAACCTAATCTTTGTTTTGGTTCCAACTGAATCTCCTCCAGCAGGTCAATTTGCTTCGCCTTTATATTGAGAGCCAAGAGGTTTCTACTGAATGATTTTTGAAGCATGCACCACACTATTAAGTAATGCAAAATGTAAAGATAATGAGGTCTTTTTTTAAAAAAAAAAAAGAATATGTTTTGAGATTAGTCCTAAAGCTTTAAGAGTAACTTGAGTCTGTGCTTATTAAATAATAATAATAGCTATGATACAGACAGCACCTTTGATGATTAAAGTTGACATTTAACTATTAAGAGTGCCATCAACTGGATATGTTCCAATTCGTCAGTTCAGATGTTTACTGGAATGTCACATCCTGAAGGCCAGAAGCCATGGTGGAGGTCATAGGGTTGATGCCTGCAACCACATACTTTCAAAATTGGTAAACTCCAAGGAAATTCTTGTTTTCTTCGGCAGTCAGGTTTAATTCACTGCTTTGCCCAAAATAGGCCTCCCGTGGGGTGAGGCCACATCTGCTGAAAGAAAAGGTGTCGTAAAAAGGCCCTGGAAAGTGATGACAGAAAACTGGTTTTGTGGTTTTTAATGGCTTTAATGGTGTAGAGTTGGTGTAGTAGCAAGACTGAACACAAAAATAAAAATGAAAAATAAGCTGGCAATAAAAAAATGACGCAGGGTCAGAAGTGGCTGTATTGGGATGGGGCACCAATAGGAAAGTCTAGGGTTTTCCTGATGGCACAATTAATCCGTGGAAGAATGGCTTGACTCCAGTTGTGGGTGCTCCATTACTGTAGGTTTTTAAGAAGAGATTGGACAACCATTTGTCTGAACTGGCATAGGGTCTCCTGATAAAGCTGAAGGCTGGACTAGAAGACCTCCAAGGTCCCTTCCAACTCTGTTATTCTGGTCTAATGGAGCCTAAGCTGAGTTTCCACTGGAAACTCAAAAGCATCCTAAACTCAAGCCACAGAAAGCTGCTTCTAACGTGGCCAGGATTAGTGTACACACCCGTGCCCATTTTATTTATTTATTTGGTAATAAACTCCTAGTTCCTAGTCCTGCAATTCACAAAAACTATCTAAAATGGGAGATGGATGCATTAGGAATATGCTCCGCATTCAGATTCAAAGCAAGGTGATGTTTTCAAAGCAAGCCAACTTCATACCTCAACATAGCCCAAACCACGTCTTTGCTTTCAAATCTAAATAATCACACAGCCCTTCATCAGCGTATTCAGGATCGTGTGTGGCCCTGTGGAAGAGAAACCAACTCTATAATGTCGCAGGCTTACTTTCAAAGTCGGAGAGATAAACCATTAGTCCGGGTCTCTGCGCTTTTCCATTTAAAACCACAAGCAATTCAATCCAGTGAACCTCAATCCAGTGAGCCTCAATCCAGTGAGAATGTGCCATTGTTCAGGAACCCTGACGAATGTCAAATGGCCCACCAAAATGCTAGACAAGCCAAAAACTAAATATTAGCTCTGGCTGGAATATGCACACACACACACAAAACCACAAATGCTCAAGAAATCACAGGGACATAGATGCCAATGCTCACTAGATAGAGAAGCAGAAATACAGAGAATTTAAACTTTCAAAGCTGCAGGAAGGGGGTCAGCATTGTTGAATGTTCCCATCTGATAAAGGGTGCTGGGTGCTGGGGAATTCTGGGCGTTGAAGTCCACAGGTCTTAAAAGTTGCCAAAGTTGGACACACTTGGTGTAAAACTATAGCCATTTGTTATTCTTTTTTAAAAAAATTACATTTTTTTTAAAAAATGTAATGTGATCATTGTTGTTTCTTTTTCGTGTCTAAGTAGGCAAAAATGCAGACATGCCTGAAATTTCAGGAACAAGGAAACCCATTATTGTGTCGGCTTGTTCTTTCAAGCCTCTGGTCTGAATGGAAATGCTTAAACTGCAAGAAGCATTCACGCCTATGCAGGCAGGATGAAGCAGTTTAACCAAAGTCCATCAAGCGTGTTTTGGAGATGCCAATTAAGTTACAAAAAAAGAGTTGGCATCTACATCACCCAGAATGAATGAATCTTCCAGTTATAATGCGGCCATAACTGGTTAGACCTAATTAGGAAAGCCAGGGTCTGTCTCCAAGATGGCAGGTGGGAAATACCTACAGCAGGACTTAGGCTGGGCTACATATTACACCGATAACCAGTTGGACCAGTGAAGATTTATTTATTATTTTTAAATTGAGCACTATGATTCACTTAACAACTATGGGAAGACAAATGGTAAAATGGAGCAGAATTCACTTAACCAAATGTCTCTCTTTCTATGGTAGAAATAAACAAATAATAGTTATAATCTGGATGTATAACACAATGTAGAGATTAGACTGTGTGATAGTTTTAACTAGGATGTATAATATGATGGGGAGGAAAAGGGGATTTGATATAACCAGTACACAATGACGTTGTATAATTGGAACTGTTATGTACATTAAGGAAAAATGCACAATAAAAATATTTTAAAAAAGAAAAGACTGAGGCAGCATATACCCATATACCATGGGTATAAAGAAAAGCTATAAATGTAATGCAGCACTAGTTCTTCGCCAGGGAAGAATGTAAGCAATAATTTTGTAGCCTTGGAATATTTCTGACTGATGAAAACCCATAAGGGATGAATGGCGGTGGCCTTAAGCAAATTTGGCATAAAAAAAATAAGTTTGCTTGAGATTGAATTCTAAACTCATCAGCGTTGAGGGAATTATTTGTTTAGCAGAGTGATGGCTTTCAGGAAAAAACTCCTCTTGTGTCTAGTTGTTCTGGTGTGCAGTGCTCTATATAGCATCATTTTGAGGGTGGGAGTTGAAACAGTTTATGTCTGGGATGTGAGGGGTTTGTAGATATTTTCACAGCCCTCTTTTTGACTGGTGCAGCATACAGGTTCTCCATGGAAGGTAGTTGGTAGTAATTGTTTTTTCTGTGGTCTGTGTCTGTCTTGTTGGGTTGCAGAACCAAACCAGGCAGTTATAGAGGTGCAGATGACAGACTCACTCATTCAAAAAATATTTATACAGAATTTATTTATCTACCTACAGCAACAATTGAGCCCCAGATTTCCATTGCTAAGCAAAATGGTTGTTAAGTGAGTTTTGTCCCCATTTTACCACCTTTGTCCTCACCGTTGTTACGTGAATCACTCTAGTTGCTAAGTTAGCAACACGGCTGTTCAGTCTGGCTGTCCTTCTCAGAAGGTCCCCAAAAGGGGGAGGGCCACATGACCTCAGGACCCTGCCACCATCATAAATACATGCCAGTGGTCAAGCATCCAAATTTTGATCACATGACCATGTGTCAGGGTTCCGACGATTGCCCTAATTCAATCACGAGCCTCAAGCCAAGTTTCAAAAGAATTCAAAAGATTTATTAGGAGCAACATGTCCAGCACTAATGTAATTTTCCTATGACCCTGTTGCCCCCCAACCTCTTGGCTGTGGCATATATCAGATTCTCCAACATGAGCTGGGTGTCATCAATCACATTCTCCCATGAAAGATTTTCACAGGCAGAAGATCTAGTAGCCTAGGCTACAATCTCCACAAGATAAGTGTGGAATGTGCTTCTGGCCTTCATCTGCCACACTGCTCCCTCAGGCCTTCCCCCCCCCCCTTCTTATGGCAACTCAGAAACAGGCATAGGGATGATTTACGAGTTGACACCACGGGAATGTGGCAAGTCTTAAGCATAGAAAAACGGCACTGCAACTGGAACAGTTGTCGGGAGAGTCTACCTGTACAGAATAACCAAGTTGGACAGGACCTTGGAGATCCTTCAATGCCCTGCCCAGAATAATTTACCTGTTTCTCAATCAATTATTCTGTTTTATGGATTTAGGAAAATGGAACGGTCAAGAAGATCATCAGCCAGATGACACAAGATCTTCTGATGGCACTCGCTGCCCGCAATCAGTATCAAGAGATCCGGGAAAAGTTTCGCCAACCGGTGACCGACAAAGGGGCCGTCCTCAAAACAAAGCCGCAGGCATCCCAGAAGGACGTTCTGAGCGTATGCTGTGACCCACTGGTCCTTGCGCAGCAGCTCACGCACATCGAACTGGTGAGTGAGCCCTCCCTTGTCCTCGCTTTGTTTCGTGGCCAAATGTTCCGGTTCGAGACCCGCTGTTTCAGAAAGGCTACTCCCAAGAGGGGAGGAAGACAATGGGAAAGTACAGACAGCGGCTTTGCCAGAACTAAAAGTTTTGTGTAGCTTGTCACTGGCCAGCTTTTCACTGCTCAAATATGTATAAGAATGAAAAAATGGCTAAGCTCATGAAACAAAGAAAAAAATGTTAATTTTTAAACAGCGTTTATTTCCAAGTGTACAGGTAGTTGTTTACACTGGGATGAAAACAGTGGTGGGATTCAAAAATTTTTACTACCGGTTCTGCGGGTGTGGCTTGGTGGGCATGGCAGGGCAAGAATATGGCACGATCCCCATTCCCTCCCCCGCCCACTAACCTGCTTTCCAGCTCCATTCTCCTGTGCAGGGCAACCAAAGAAGACCCAGCCAATCAGCTGGGACTCAATAGGAGGTGGAGAATAGATGGGGTTGGCGGGACCAGTCAGAGGTGGGATTTGCTGGTTCTCCAAACTACCCAAAATTTCTGCTACCGGTTCTGTAGAACCGGTCAGAACCAGATGAATCCCACCTCTGGGACATAAAGCACACCTCTTAATGTTATATCAGTGTCTTCTTTACACCTCTGGGATCTTAATCATTTTTTCTTGTTTTAGGAGAGGGTAAGCAACATTTATCCAGAAGATCTCATGCAGATAGTCAGTCATGTGGACTCCCTGGATAACCACAAGGTGAGTTTCAAAATTTGGATGAAGTGGAACATGAGAAATAGAAAGATTAACCCACAATCCCTAGTAACATCCTGTCTTGAACGTTGCAATGTGCTCTTCCTGGGACTGCTCTTGAAAAGTATCCGGAAGCCTCAATGGATTCAAAATGCAGTGGCTTGTATGATTTCGGGAAGATCCAGATGTGCAGAGGCAGCATCCCTCCTGTGGGAGCTGCATTGGTCTGCCAATCTGCTTCTGGATACAATTCAAGGTGCCGGTTGCCACCTTCAAAGCCCTACATGGCATGGGAACAGGTTATCTGAAGGACTGTCCTTTCCTGCTGACATCTACCTGACTCACCAGAATGGGGAGGCAGGGTAGATTGTGGGTCCCCCTCGGCTAAGGAGTGGTAGGACCCAGAAGAAGGGCCTCCTCCGTGGTGGCTCCCTCCAGTTATCTGAAGGACCTCTTTTCTCAGTTATATCCAACCGACCACCAGAGCAGGGAGAGAGGGAGATATTATAGCCTCATTTGTTAATTGAGTCATTGCAGTCGTTAAGTCAGTAACATGGATGTTAAGGGAATCTGGCTTCCCCATTGACTTTGCTTGTCCGAAGATCACAAAAGGGAATCACGTGACCCCATCCCACCCCCCGGGATACTGCAACTGTCATAAGTACATGCCAGTTGCCAAGTGTTTGAATTTTGGATCACGTGGCCATGGGGATGCTGCAACGATCGTCGTAAGTCTTAAAAACAGTCATAAATCACTTTCCCTCCCCATGCTGTTGTAACTTCAAACACCGTCACTACATGAATGGTTGTAAGTCAAGGACTCCCTATAGAAAGGGTACACATTGGGATTGTGAAAATCCTAACACTGCATCACACTCACGCTCAGAATCTCCTAAAAGAAGATTGCTACTTGGGAAGACATCCATTTTTATTTTGTTTTATTTTTTTTAAAAAAAACTATACATAAATCTAAGCGGGGTTTACGGATGAGGAAGAGCTGATGACTTTGCTGGAAGCAATGGTGTCCTGATTTCGACTCGGGGGTCTAACAGTGGGTGCTTAATTTTTCAGTGCCGAAGCGATGTTACGAAGACCTACAACCTTGAAGCCTACGACAATTGGTTTAACTGCCTCAGTATGTTGGTGGCGACAGAGATTTGTAAGGTAAGGATCCACAGGTGTAGTGGCCCACTGGCGGCTGACGGAGCTGGCAGCTGAGTCAGACAGTAGTGAGGAGGTTGGGGAGGAACCTTGGCTGGGTCTGGAGGCTGAGGAAGGCTCGGACGAGGGCTCTGCATCGGAGGCAGAGATGGGCCAGGGCAGGCTGGCAGTCATCAGCTGCTTTCGGGCTTGGACAGCAGTGAGGCAGGGGAGTTCCTGGAACTGGTTCCCAGCCTGTGCATGCGCAGGGGTACCAGAAGATAGGAACAATTGAAAAAGCAGGGTCAACTCAGGAGTAAGGCCACATCTCGGAGGTGATTGGCTGTAAGGCCTATCACGGAGGTGATAGGACATAAAAGAGGAGCAAACGGGACATGAGCTTTTGCAGGAAGCAATTAGTTCATTTGGTTGGTTCAAGCTTTGAAAAGTTCTGTTTGACTCTGTGTCGTTTGGCCTTGCCCTGCGTCTGGCAACTGGTTCTCTGGTCACATTCCAAGTGCGATAAGGAGGGTGTTTATAAACATTCCCCTGAAAGACTGTTTGTGAGGCCTTGCAGGCTGTGAATGAATGTAATTCACAGCAGCCATGGAAGTATAAAAGAGGTTTTGCCAGGACATAAAATGGTGATTTATGCTTTCAAAGGAAATTAGGTGAGATCAACAGGGGGAAAGGAACTGGGGGATGGATGTGCTCCTGACCAGTTCATTGCATCTGTTTTGAGGGCAGCTGATTCACGTGCCAACAGAACGCTCCTGTTCAACCTTAAATCTGCTTTTCTTTCCTTTGCTGTGTCTTTCATAGACCTGATTCATGGTGGAGAGTTAAGGCATGACCTGTCTGTTTTCCAAATAGCGATATTACCCTCTTCCATCACTGCCCCATTCCCTTCTTGCACTGATGATGTGACCCAGTTCGGTCATGAAACATCTGCAAGAAAACAAACCAAACTCAGACAGCACCCAGGACCCCTCAACATAAACCCTGAACTACAAATATTCTCCTTTATCAGATAAAAATACCAAACTGAAACTGGGAGACTATGAGATCTACACTAATCCTGCCTAAGGCATGGCGCTGTGTGCAACCAAGTCAATGACTTTGGGCCAGTGACCAGGCATCAAAGCTGATTTGAAGTACCCCTCCTCCCCTCCCCCCAAACCCACCATCCCAAAAAAATCCTCCCCCAAAAGATGGAGGGGGATTTTCCCAGATCGGGTTAACAGGATGGAATTTTTTGGCACCTGCCAAAAAAGCCAACACCGTCCGAGGCTGCATAAACAGAGGGAGAAAACCAGTGGTGGGAATCAATTTTTTTTACTACCAGTTCTGTGGACGTGGCTCGGTGGGTGTGGCTGAGGAAGGATACTGTAAAATCTCTAGTTAGAGGTGGTATTTGCTGGTTCTTTGAACTACTCAAAATTTCCACTACCGGTTCTTCAGAATGGCTCAGAACCTGCTGAATACCACTTCTGGAGAGAATCAAGATCACGTGAAGTGTTAATACCAACTTTATAATGCCTTGATAAGGCCACACTTGGAATACTGCATCCAATTTTGGTTGCCACGACGTAAAAAAAGATGTGGAGACTCTAGAAAAGAGTGCAGAGAAGAGCAACCAAAATGATTAGGGGACTGGAGGCTCAAACATACGATGAATGGTTGTAGGAATTGGGTAGGGCTAGTCTAGTGAAGAGAAGGGCCAGAGGAGACAGGATAGCAAGGTTCCCATATTTGAGGGGCTGCCACAAAGAAGAAGGAGCCAAGCTATTCCCCAAAGCACTTCAAGGCAGAAGAAGCAACAGGTGGAAACTAATCAAGGAGGGAAGCAATTTAGAACTAAGGAGAAATTTCCTAACAGTTAGAACAATTGATCAATGGAACAACTTGCCTCCAGAAGTTGTGGGTGCTCCAACACTGGAAGTTTTTAAGAAGAGATTGGACAACCATTTGTCTGAAGTGGTGTGAGGTTTCCTGCCTAAGCAGGGGGTTAGACTAGAAGACCTCCAAGGTCCCTTCCAACTCTGTTATTTTATTCTAGATATTGGAGGAATGCAACACTATTCTGTCAGAGGGTGAGGCACAACCGTAAAGCCTCTAGTTAGAACATACAATACAATATTTTGGTACAAAGTGATTTCGTTCCCATAGTTACCCAGGATCTTGTTTTACTAAAGCTTCTTTTCAAAGATCAACTTTAAAAATAGCTTCCCATTTTTGAATAATTGGTGCCTCTTTCCAAAGCTCTGTATAAAAAAACAAAAATGGAAAGCACCATGAGGATTTGTTCTTCCCCCAAATTCTTTATTTTTGATTTCTACAGCTGCTCATCTCAACATGTGACTGTGGGCAGCCTACATCAAAAACCATAAACACAATGATGGTCTATTGATAGGATTGTTACAGAGTTTTTCCTCTGTGTATCCTTGATAGAGGCATTTCATTATGATTTGTGTTTGTGCATTAATAAAGTAACAGAATAACAGATTGTTGCTAACTACCCAGAGTTAGGTCTTTAAGATAAGTTGCCACAGTAATTCTTTAAATAGATAAATGGACTGGAAGTTTTTAAAAAGGTGTTGGATAACCACTTGTCTGAAGTGGTGTAGGGTTTTCTGCCTAGGCAGGGGGTTGGACTAGAAGACCTCAAGATCCCCCTCAACTCTGTTATTCTATTCTAAATATTGTCTTCCATAGGGAATAGGGGTTAAGACACGAAGTCCATCCAACAAATTCCTGCTTTAGCTTGAACAGCTTCCCTGAAATGGTGGAAACCTGATATACAGAATACATTTTTAACAAAATGGGTCTGGAAAAGAATGGAATGGAAAAGAATAGGAATAGAACAGAAAATAATAGAATAGAATAGAACATGGAATACAGGTGAAACTCGAAAAATTACAATGTCGTGCATAAGTTCATTTATTTCAGTAATGCAACTTAAAAGGTGAACCTAATATATGAGATAGACTCATTACGTGCAAAGCAAGATGGTTCAAGCCGTGATTTGTCATAATTGAGATGATTGTGGCTTACAGCTCATGAAAACCCCAAATCCGCAATCTCAGAAAATTAGAATATTGTGAAAAGGTTCAATATTCTAGGCTTAAAGTGTCTCACTCTAATCAGCTAATTAAGCCATAACACCTGCAAAGGGTTCCTGAGCCTTTAAATGGTCTCTCAGTCAGGTTCAGTAGGAATCACAATCATGGGAAAGACTGCTGACCTGACAGTTGTGCAGAAAACCATCATTGACACCCTCCATAAAAAGGGAAAGCCTCAAAAGGTAATTGCAAAAGAAATCGGATGTTCCCAAAGTGCACATTAATAGAAAGTTGTGTGGAAGGGAAAAGTGTGGAAGAAAAAGGTGCACAAGCAGCAGGGATGACTGCAGCCTGGAGGGGATTGTCAGGAAAAGGCCATTCAAAAGTGTTGGGGACTTTCACAAGGAGTGGACTGAGGCTGGAGTCAGTGCATCAAGAGCCACCACACACAGACGGATCCTGGACATGGGCTTCAAATGTCGTATTCCTCTTGTCAAGCTGCTCCTGAACAACAAACAACATCAGAAGCATCTTACCTGGGCTAAAGAAAAACAGAACTGGACTGTTGCTCAGTGGTCCAAAGTCCTCCTTTCTGATGAGAGCAACTTTTGCATCTCATTTGGAAACCAAGGACCCAGAGTCTGGAGGAAGAATGCTTGAAGTCCAGTGTGAAGTTTCCACAGTCTGTGTTGATTTGGGGAGCCATGTCATCTGCTGGTGTTGGTCCACTGTGCTTCATTAAGTCCAGGGTCAATGCAGGCATCTCCCAGGAGATTTTTGAGCATTTCATGCTTCCTTCCACAGACGACCTTTATGGGGATGCTGCCTTCATTTTCTAGCAGGACTTGGCACCTGCCCACGCTGCCAAAAGGACCAAAACCTGGTTCAATGACCATGGAATTACTGTGCTTGATTGGGCAGCAAACTCACCTGATCTGAACCCCATAGAGAATCTATGGGGCATTGCCAAGAGAAAGATGAGAGACATGAGACCGAACAATGCAGAAGAGTTGAAAGCCGCTATTGAAGCATCCTGGTCTTCCATAACACCTCAACAATACCACAGGCTGATAGCTTCCATGCCAAGCCACATTGAGGCAGTAATTGCTGCAAAAGGGGCCCAAACCAAGTATTGAATACATATGTATGCTTATACTTTTCAGAGGTTCGATATTGTTCTATGTACAATCCTTGTTTTATTGATTGCATGTAATATTCTAATTTTCTGAGATTGTGGATTTGGGGTTTTCATGAGCCGTAAGCCATAATCATCTCAATTATGGCAAATTACAGCTTGAACTATCTTGCTTTGCATGCAATAAGTCTATCTCATATACTAGGTTCACCTTTTAAGTTGCATTACTGAAATGAATGAACTTTTGCACGATATTCTAATTTTTCGAGTTTTACCTGTAGAAGTACAACTGACAGACCCAATAGGTCCTCTGTATTAAAAATGCAGAGAAACAATTCCTCTCTATTAAAAATAAATGAATGATTAAAAACATAGATTGGCACCCAAAAAACCATCTGGAATGTCTAACTCATGAACAACAACCAATAGGAAAATGAAAAGCAACAAATCAGTTTGGAGGCCATTTGATCAGGGGAGAAGCATGCCAGTAAAAACAGTTGGAGTTTGTCTTGTTTCCAAAAAGGGCCAGATAGAATCATGCAACAGAACCCTTATTTATAGAAAGAAATCCCTTAGAGGACTCTACTATGTAAGCATTTTTTTTTTCCTTTTAGAAATCTGTCAGAGCAAAGCAAAATATCTTAGCGTAACTGCATCTTGTAAACAACTCTGCAGAAAATATAAGTTTAACTCTTAAAACCCAAGTCAGCCACAATCTATTAACAGGGAATGTAATAAATAAACACAGCAAGGAATTGCTTTCAAGAAGCTACATACCCACCCCCCCCACCCCACCCCCCAAAAAGATAGGCAAAATTACAATTCAGAACCAAAACTTGGGAGGAAGAGTCCTGGAAATGAAAAATCTGGGTTGTCCTATTGAATAGTCATTGTTGGAATAAAGTTAGAGAGGGTGCAACTCTTGTGAGAGTCCTGGACCTATGATGGCATTCATGATCTTTTTCCCACCCAGAGGCTCTCCAAATTTAGTGCAGGTGGAACAACCTCAAAACAATTCCATTGTCAGAGAGAGAGACTGGCTTGGGGCAGGGGGAGGCGTCAAGCAGGGAACTAGTCTGGAGTCTTTACGTGGGCACAATTCCCTTTGAATGGTGTTGAGCCACATCTAGTCTGGTCTGGTCTGGTCTAGGGTCTCCTGCTTGAGCAGGGGGATTGGATTAGAAGACCTCCAAAGTCCTTTCCAACCCTATTATTTTATGTTTTCTGGTCCAGGTGCAAAGTTTGGGAAGAGTGCTGCAAAAAAGACATAGACAAATAAAACTCCGTTTTTTGTTTACCACCCTGTTTTGAACTCTTCACAAGTGGGTGTAGTTGTTTGGCCCCAACATCCAATTATTCAATGATGCTCGTCTCTAGAACATGGTTCCAGGCTGGATTTTCAGGCTCATGTTCCTTTCTCTGCCCCCTTGCAACCCAAAGAGTAGGAGTTATTGATTGATGGTGGATGGTCACCTCTGGGAATTGAAGTCCTCTTGACATAATCACAAGGTTATCACACTCATAGATTCACAAGGCTATATCAGATCCATTGACTACATCTGCAATGGGCAAAAATCTCTTTACGTGTGAGATTTTAGCTCTCGTGTGACGCACAAAAAAAGGAACAAGAGCCAGTTTCAGCTCAATCCCAAGGAAATCCACTAGCTTTGGTTTTAATCCCCTCTACTTTTCAACACCAATATTGAACCACAGATGGAGAACCTTTTGAGATTCAGGGGAAAATGTCATTAATGTGACGCATAGCATTTCCTTGCTTTGGATATAGGTGGGGCAGTAGAATGTTGCCTTGGCTCTTAACACCCCCCACACAAACCACAATCTTCAAAATCAAAACAGCAGAGAGAAATAATTAAGTTTGTTGCAGATATTCCTGCGTTATATTGCTTAATTTGGACAGTCTCTGGTTATCAGAGACCTCCAAACAACCAAGTACTGCATAGTCAGATATGAAATGCATTGTGTGGCTCGCTCTGGGTCGATTGCCCATATTTTATGCAGAAAAGCATCTCGGTATATTAAAGGATAATTGTCATTGTTGACCTAAGAGTGTTGTTGGAAGGAAATATCTCAAAGTCCTTGTGGGATCGGTGTAATAAAATGTGTAATCAGGAGATAATCCAAACTTGAATTCAACAGTGGTTGTAATTAAGTGGAATCAAATCAGCTTTTAAGCTTATTGGTCTCATTTATTTGCATATTTGAAGTGAAGGTTGTTTTGTTTTAGGGTAGAATATGTCCTGCATCAAGTATGACACTAAAAAAGTTGGATTATGGCTTCTCGGTGTCATAATCAAAACTCTACAGGATCAAAGCAATCTTCCCTTTTTAGAAGCAGAACAACATATTTGGCAGTTTCTATCAAAAGCTAGAAAATTTAAATGCTTTTCAGTATTTAGCTCAATAGAGGCATTTCTTGTCCTGATTAGAAGGAAAATATTTAAATTCTTGCTAGTTCAGAAGCACTTAAGGCTCTGAACACCTAAAGTAGGAAATCATTTAGCACTTAAGGACTCAACATGCAGGAGTTTGGCGTTCTCCTAAAAGACAAAGGAGAAACTCAACTTCCTGCCTAACCCTGAAAACTTCTGTGAAAAAAATTGGAATTCATCCCATCGATATTCCAATAAATGTGTTGGCTCTGCCACGGGTTTATTATTGCTGTGATGTTAGTACAGTTCCCCCTCTTCTCACCGCACATCCTTTTAATGTTTCAGGTGGTGAAGAAAAAACAGCGAACAAGAATCGTGGAGTTTTTCATTGATGTGGCAAGAGAATGCTTCAACATTGGGAATTTCAACTCCATGATGGCCATTATTTGTGAGTAAGGTCTCTGGGGCCATGACTGCATCAGTCAAAAATGAGAGTTGAGGAGATTAAAAAATTGGCCTGAGATTGCAGAGTCAGCGATTGAGCACATTGGCGTAATCTCCTACTAATATTAACTGCTCTGCACCTCTATGATTAACTGATCCTCTGTAATGATCCCCATACATCAGTGGTGGGGTTCAAAAAAATTTACTACCAGTTCCATGGGCGTGGCATGGCTTGGTGGACATGGCAGGGGAAGGATAGTGTAAAATCTCCATTCCCTCCTCATCCCTTCCCTTCCCACCCCACTAACCTGCTTTCCAGCTCCCTTCTCCTGTGCAGGGCAACCAAAGAAGACCCAGCCAATCAGCTGGGACTCGGGAGGTGGAGAATAGATGGGGTTGGCAGGAGCAGTCAGAGGTGGGATTCGCCGGTTCTCCATACTACTCAAAATTTCCGCCAGTGGATCTCCAGAACTGGTCAGAAGCTGCTGAATGCCACCTCTGCTATACATGCACACCAACAGTTCTCTCTCTCTCACACAGACGTAAAACACACACATTTGCAAACTGAGAGAGAGAGAGACACACACACACACAAAATCTGAGCTCTGCATTTTGTGGCAAGTCCCACATATGCAGGTAGAAACTAGTGCTAGGTTGGGAATAGATCTTTCTAATGTTTGCACGTCAACCGGTTGGGAAATGGGAAGCGGTATAAATCAATTAGAATGGTAGATCTGGCACTCCTTCCTAGCACTGATGATGGTACCTAGTTGGGTAATGAAACATTTGCAAGAAAACAAGCAAGCTCAGAGAGCACCAAGGATGCCTCAGATCTAAAGCACTTTCCTTTTAAGTTCTGACACACTTTGGAGGGCAGGATGTGCTCAACGCAGGGATTCAGAGGCAAAGTTATCGTCACTGTAAAACAGATGATGATGCACGCAAGAAAGAAAGAAAGCCAGGAAGACACAGGAGATTTACCAAAACCTTATAGGAGGATCGGGGGCATCGACTTGAAAGAATACGATTTAATTTAATCGGCATGGCAATGCTTAACCCCTCAAGGTGGCTTGGGGGAATTATAGAAAGAAGAAGCGAGGGGGTTCAGAACATTTTGGGCCATTTTGGCTCCTGAACATTTAATGTGCTTGGAACAACCCACATGCCTGCACAAGCTGCCCTTTGACAATGAGTCAAGAGAGTCCCGAGTGAAGCTTTATGAAAGCCCATCGTTGCTAGAAACGCGTTTGAAATGCATGACAAAGTATTTAAAAATCCTTTTATTTCTTTTTTCCTTCTTCTCCCTTTCTCTTTTTCCTGCTCTCTGTTTCTCTCCCTTTCTTCCTCTCTCTCTCTTTTTCTCTTTCTTTTCCTTCCTTTTCTTCTTTCTTTCCTTCCTTTCTCTCTTCCTCCTCCCTCTTTCTTTTCTTTCTTTTTTTTCTTTTTCCTTCTCCTTTTCCCCTTCTCTGTTTCCATCTTTCTTCCATTCTCTCTTTTTTCCTTCCTTCTTTCTTTTTCTTTCTTTCCTGTCTTCCTTCCTTCCTTTTTCTTTCTTTCTCTGTCTCTCCCTCCCTCCCTATCTTTTCTTTCTCTCTTTTTTCCTTTTCTTTCTCTCCCCCATCTCTTTCTCCCCCTCTCCCTTTATTTCTTTCTCTTTTTTGCAGCTGGCATGAATTTGAGTCCCGTTGCCCGGCTAAAGAAAACATGGTCCAAAGTGAAAACAGCCAAATTTGATGTTTTAGAGGTAAATATGTCATAGCTTGCGCTGCATTGGGTCAAACATTTTTCACTCAACAGATTATTTTCATTTCACTTTTTTTTTTTAAAAAAAGCAATTACAAGCCAGAATACAGCAGCATAAGAGTTGGATTTAACTAAAGTTCCCTGCTCAGAATTAGGGAGAATAACAGAACAAGCATGAAATAGTAATGAATAAGTTCTTCCTTCCAAATCTTAAAATCAATCAAATTTCAATCAAACTGCATATAAAGAATATCTTCCGTTGTCATCAGGCATTCAAGCAGGTGTGCACCGATTGGCTAAAAGTCTGTCATACTTAGTATGTGTACACACAGACGCATGCACACACACACACACACACACACACACTTTCATCCATTTGAAGAGGAAAACCTTCCATATCATGCTAGAAGGCTCCTCTTCCACCTGCAACAATTTTCACACACTGGCTGGAGCTGATAGTATTTGAAAGACAATGAGGGGGTCCCTCATAATCCACCTCTATTACTTTTCATTTTTAAAAAATCATCTCTCATGAAAGCCTGCCATCTAGTGATATTCAGGATTTAACAAAAGCAAGCCCTCTGAAATAAAACTGTATTAAAAAGGATTAGGTCCCAAAGGTGTTTTTTTGTTTTTTCAAGGGGCAACTGGACTTTCTGGTTTTTCTTTCTTCCTTTCTTTTTTTTTTGGGTGTGTGTATATATGTATATGTATATGTATATGTATATATATGTGTGTATGTATGTATGTATGTATATATGTATATATATATATATATATAT